GGGACAACAGAAATCCTGCTCTTCTCAACTGGAAGCAGAACCAAAATGCTTTTGGAGAGCCAGCATTTCTCAGAGAGGTTTTAAAAGATTAATTTTAAAAAGATGAAAAGATGAATGGCTCCAAATAATTAAATATTAGTTTGATGTTGCTTTCCAAGCAACGTTTTGAGCTGCTAGAAATCAGAACAATCATGTGGAATGGCCAAAAAGTATGAAGATGCTGTAGGTTGTCCTGTTGCTCAGCTGAGCTACATTATGACAGTTTTAATGGGGAGCTGCAGGGAGAATGGAGTGCCTCATTTTTGCTCACGAAGTGTAAAGATGCTTTAATACAAAGGCAACACCTGAGTATCCTGTTCCTACAAAATTACATCTGTGTTGGAAAAATCAGTGCCAGGAGGAAGTGGGTCACGCAAAATGAAGAGGAGGAGACAAGGAATAGGAGGGGAGATTTCAGAGCTAAGGCCCAGGAACCTGCGTTGTCTTTCAGCAGCACATTCTCTGGGGCACAGGCTGTCTCCTTTGCTGTGTACATACACCTTCTCATGCAATAAAGCCCCGATCAGTTCAGTGTTCCAGGCAGAGCTGCTGTAAAAATAACAGCCGAGATGTAATGTTTTTTAGTGCTTTCCCTACAACAGGAGAAAACAAGCAGGAAAGAGAAACAAAGGAGTTCAGAAAACAGCAGGACTCTCACAGAACCAGCTGGATCTCAGCACAGCAAACTGTCTTGAAGGCTGGGACATCTTCACTCCCATCCCTCAGGCTTGTCACACTCTCAAAGCCCTGGGGTTCAACCAGAGGGAGCTGGATGTTCTGCGCTGCTGCTCCTAACACCACAGCAGGCTGGGCTGTGAACCGGCACACACTCTCTTTGCTTTTACCTGATCTAAGGAGATTTCACAGGGCTGGAGAGCAGCCAGCAACTTGTTCTGATGAGCAGGGTGTGTGACCCAGGCACGGCCACCACCAGATCAAGGAAAATCAACCCAAGCCTTCAATTTGGATATTTATTTCTTAGGTTCAATTAATGACAAAATAAAATAAAATACCATACAGTACAAAGGCTAATATCAGGAAGTAACCATTTCATTACAGTTTGATAGTAAACACAGCATCAATAATAGCATGTTACATCAAAAGAGCGTTTCCCATTGCTGTACAAAAGGATTTCACACCCTTTCCCTTCCCTTTGTCACAGAAAATCTTACAAAGGAGACGCTGACACACTTTGAACATTCATTTTTTTCCCATTGCACAACAGGCCACAGAAAATAAAGCACATCAACATTTTGTAGTTCAGAAAAAAAAAAAAAAAGGTGCACTTTAAGAAATGTTTGCCATAAATACAGTATATGCAGGACTATCAGGTGGCACAGCTGGGGAAGGACTCTTGATCACAAAGCCAGGACACAGCACCATGAATTTTAGCAACTTCTGTTTCCCTGCTCAGTGAGTATGAACTGAAAACAGAAGTCGTTCATCTGTAATTTAAGATTCAGACAGAGCTCCAGCAGATAAAGCTTTGTTTAAACAGCTACCAAACAACACAGCCAGGAAGATATCAGAACTAACACTCAACGCGTTGCACAGGAAAACTCCAGCGCTCTCAGCCCCCACTGAGGGCATGCACAAATGGTAGCTGCACAGATGCTCAGCTCAATTCCACAAGACAAGCTGTCCACAGCAACAGCAGACTTTTAGTTCACTGGATGTTTGATGCTATAAATGCAAAGGTCCTGTGATTGTTGTGTTTCTAGCACGTGTCCTGCCAACCCTCCTCACCCATTTTTCCATTTAGTTTTCTTCTTTACAGTGCAGTCACTGAAGCGAGATCTCATGCGCTTTGCAAAAAGACAAGCTCAGCAGAGCATTCAAACACCTCTGCGTTTGGGCCTGCGGTGAGAAAGTCCTGTCTGGGGGAAATTTCTGAACAGCATAATGACTTTGGAAATCTAATTTCACACACTGCCAAATAGACGGCCCTGACATGGAGACTGTGAAGATAAACGAAACCTCAAAAGTATATTTGAAGAGGTCACTTGATAAACTGTCCTCAGATGGGAATCGCTCTGAATCCATCTGCCAGCACTGCACATCTGTGGGTTCAACAGATTTTTTATTTTTTTTTCCAATCAAAACAAACAGTTTGAAACACTTACAGGACATTTGCATAGATTAACAGCACGCTGCATGAGTGCTCACCGCTCTGCCCCAAAAGAGAATTCAGACAAGACAGGAACACAAAGATGTGAGGATGCATTTTGTTTAATGGCAAAAGCCAATTGTACTCCACTAGGTTTAAAGCTAAACCATGTAGGGTTAGCAGTTGTTGAAAGGCATGGAAAGAAAGAGAACCGTGTCCTGGGTATATACTGGGCATTTGGTACCTTTTTCTTCATGAGAGTACCATGCTTTTCTTTAGAAAACCATGGGGTCTTATAGTGATTTATCCTCACCTCTTTGAGCTCAGGGAAACCAAAACTATTTTGAGTATAGCAAAACTAGGTGATGGGGGGGGGGGGGGAAGAGGATGAAATCAGCTGTAACTTCCACTTCTCAACTCAGGTAATCAGATTTGCCCAATGGAAGAGGTAGCTTTGAGCTGCAATCCCAAGTTAAGGCCATAGACTCACATTAACCTGAAGGAACAGGGCTTTAGAAGCCAGAAAACTGCTTGAATAAATCTCCCATTGCAGGCAGCTCTTCAGGACTTGAGCATTCCAACAAACACTGCAGAAGATCTTTATGACAAGTTCATTTTCACTCCAGCTTGTTTTCATTTTCATGTCAAACCAAAAATAAAGCCACCACCTTCACAGAGCTGTGATCAAAAGTTCCGTAAGCTGCCAGTGTATCTCAGTGATAAAAATCAAAGCCAAACATCTTATGTGAGAATATTTCAGTACAGTGTTTCCTAAGATAACCAAGCACATTTCAGCAGGTTGGTGTTTAATGAGCATATTAATAGCATTAAATATTTTAAAGGTGAATACTGGAAAGCAACTGAGACACACAGAAATCCTAATGAAAGTCAAAGCAACACACAGTTACAGCTTCCATGGGAGGTTTCAGAAACCATCCTCACAGCTGTTGACTCTATTTAGAAGTACTGTTAAAAAGTTTGGGTCCTCTCCAGAACTACTTAAAGGTTGTCTTGCCTGCAAGGCTGGCACTAAGTGTGCAACATTAAGACTCCTCTTCCTTTGCTCATCGTACCTGGACTTTGTTAGTGCAGGAGGAGCGAGAGCAGTGAAGATAATTGGGTTTGTAGGGTCTATTATGGATGGTGTCCATGATTTAGTTATTTTGTTTGCAGCTCACCTTCCTTGGTCAGCTGGAAGCTGTCAAGGTGCCACAAGTGCTGTGTCCCCCTCTCAGCTACAGTCGTCTACAAACATCATAGAAGTTTGAGCTGTAATGGACAGACATTAGGTGAAAGTAGCAAAAGTGAATAAACCAAGAACATACAGGTCTATACATGGTTCTGCTATTCCTATGTGTTTCACATAGCCCATGGTGCAGGATATATTGATCCTCTACAGCTTCTCTTCCAATCTGCCCAAGCCATTTCTAGCACACACACAATAATAACATTTGCTGGTTGCACAAAAATTTCCTTGCAAAGAGAAGCCAGTCTCCTCTGTCCTTTTTCTTCTTCTGTGTGTGTGCCCCTTTACTGTTTTTCCTTGTCAAAGAAGAGTCAACTGCACATGAGCAACAAAAGTGCTTTGTCAATTGTAAACTCTGCCCTCTGTTTTGTACAACAACTAGGGCGAGAAATTCAGAGAAGGCATGACAGGACAGAGCCTGTAGTTTGGCGGAATCAGAAGGAACTAAAGCCTGACCGATTCCTGTTTTGAGCCCTTTCCTTTGGAGTATTTCTGTAGTAGGCATTAAAATAATCTCCTGTCCCTTCTAGGTGTGGTTGGAGGTCAAGGCTGGCAGCAGACAGATGAACCGTGCAGCTAGCTCTGTACCACTGCCAATAAATGCCTCAGGAGCAGAGAGCTGTCACACACAACGAACAACAAATGCCCCGGAGGTGTTTCCTTCATGTCCTGAGCCCAGCAGGACCTAACTTATGAGATGCTGCTGGTACTGAATGTATCAGGAACTGATCTGCATTGCAGAGGACACTGGAGATCTGCAGGCCCACACAGCTGTGCTTGGGGCCAGAAGCACATGTCCAGCATTGAGACTAGTCCTATGTTCCATGAGTGGTCAGTAGTTGCAGAGTGACAGGGGATAGGCAAAGCTGGAAAGCTGAATGGAGCCAAGCATCACTTGTAGTTTGTCATAAAGAAGCAAGCCCATTCTGCAAGAGTGCAGGGATTTGCAAAGAGCCTCCTTTCAGCAGAGCTCCCCCTAGAACTCTCTTTATGAAGAATCTCTTCATTTCTGTGCTTTTGAACAGGAATAACCCACCTTTCCTTTCCCACAGCCATTCTAAGCAGCAGAAACAAACAGCAAAGTCCGTCACCAACAGAAAATAACCCTTCTCACAACAACTCCAGATAAGACTAAAACCTAACCTTATTACCAATGCTCTCCAGCCTGCCTCTTGCCCCAAAATGGCTTACCTCTATTTTAGAGTATGTTTGAATTCCTGCTAATGGTTTGTGACTGCATCACTTTGTAAAGGCCAGACCTTTAACAAAATGCATGGTTTCCCTCATAGGATGTGTTTGGCTCACCTTTGTGTGAGCACAAATGGGTGTTGAGGAATGTCTCTGGCAAGAATGTGAGCAGGCACAGCTTTGATTTACTTTCTACCTCTGTGTGAAGGGGGACATAAGGTCACTAACAGCAAAATCACAGCACAGGTTGAACAAGATGATGGGTTGGTTCCCAGGTTCATGCAGGTCACCATCTGGTGCTGTGACAGCAGGGAAAGCCCTTTAGCTTGTCCCAGAGGCCCTTGATTTCTGATGCCAAAGGCTCTTGGGCAATTTGTTACATCTCATAGATGGTTGTTTGTGGTAGAACAATATAGGAAAAAAACATCATGCTACTTATCCTGGCCAGCTGAGAAATTTCATATTCAAAGCAATAATCAAGGGGAAAAATATGAGGAAGGTATGCTGTATGTCCTCTTATTTTGATGTATGTCCTCTGATTTTTGTTCAGAACCCGCTCATAGTCAGGATTCAGCACAACCCTGACTGGGCCAAACTGTCTGATTTGCTATAAACAGGTCTCAGCTCTGTTCTTCTGATTTGTTAAAAGAAAGTTCTTTTAGAGCTAAGTCTCCCCAGCTTAGACCTTGTGTGATGAGATCAGTGTACCAACAGTTTTGGTAGCAAAAAGAAATGAAAGGCAGAAGAAGAGGCCCTGCCGCCTACTGCCAGTAGCCTATGAGATGTCAGCTTATGAAAATAATGGGAAAAATCTTAGTCCTACAGAACTGGGCTGGTTGCTCTTACATCAGCAGGCTGGATCCCTCGGCAGCCTACTGTTTTTTCACCTCTTTAATGCAGGCCAGCTAGCTGTTATCCCTGGCAAAAGAAACAAGAGTTTGGCTGTGTGGCATAAGTAAGGTTTTCCATTTCTGTTCATTTTCAACACTCCAGCTGGGCACAGTTCCTACATTCTTGACTTTGCCAGAGACTCTGTTACTTATAGGTGTTGCAATACCAATACCAGAGAGTGGGGCTCCCTGCGCCAGGCACTATGCATGCCCTAAAGTGAAAGCTGACTCCAATTCCCCCCAGGCTATCCTCACCCTATTCTAAGTAAGGCATCATCTGTTGGTGTTTAAGTTCAAGGAGCCAGAACGGCTCTTTTGAGCACCCAGGTCATATTTGTAAGAATTTAGATGTAATTTTAAAACACCCATCTGACTCCCTGAGTTCTCACTCCTTGCTCATTGAGTATCCATCCATAGATGAGCATGTCTATTTGCCAAAAGCAACCCTTTCATTTTGAAACTGCTTTTTCCTCCTTAGACTCCGCTCAGTGCCACCAAGAGGCATGATCTCAAACCTTTGGATGTGAACATGGCATCTCTGCATTGAGAGAAGGATGAAAGTATGAAGTAGCCTAAATTTAACATATATTGGCTTCCCAGTTAACACTGTACCTGGATTTACACCAGACTGAACTTACAAATCGTGTAGACATCACTCACAGGAGGCAAGGCCAATGCTTTAAATTAACCTCGAAGTTACTGGCAGAATGAAGCCTATTTCTCCAACAAAAATGACTTTGCTAAACACGCTTTGTGTTACATGAATTCGGAGACCGTGCATGAAAGTCACAGAGGCCTCTCTCAAGTTTAGACTCCACAAAATGCATTGCTCTTCCTCTTTTGGCTTCAGTATGTAGTTTCCCTTGTGACCTGGCTGGAAAAAGTGTGGTTGCTGGAAATGCTGTTGGATTTCCTGGTAAACGCAAGTCGTTTTTTCTTCTTCCTCCATGGCAGGCACACGAGTGTGAGCGTAGAAAGGAAGATCTGTCGGAAATTTGCAGATACCAGGTTGTATAGGATGGGGTTGATTGCTGAACTGACGTAGAAGAGGACATTGGTCAGCATGTAGAAGTAGTGGTAGAAGTTGAAAAGGAAACTGGAAGAACAGATGAAAGATAGAATTCTAAGAAGAGTGAAGAGAACTGGAATAATTCAAAGTCACAAGTGTGAAGAAAACACAAGCTTTTCTTGTTGCTCACTTTTCTCTGTTAGGGACATGATCTTGCCAGTGGGAGTCAGTGCAGGTGCCCTTTGGTTTCAGCTGAGACTGGGCAAGTGTAGGTCAAATACCTTTACAGAGGTCTTGCCCCAGTCTCTGCCAGTTAGAAACTCATTTATGCCCTGGGACTGCGTGAGACATTTGCCTCCTGTTCATTTTTTCTTTGAAAATAGACATGCTTGAAATTGAGAAACCAGATGGAAATTTGCTTCTGTGTAATGCATATATATTAGTCTGACTTTTCTGGCTGCAGTTCTGGTATACAGAGCCTGCAGAAGAGCCAACATCTTGTAACAGATGCAGATCTCTCCTCCCCTGGGCAGTGAGAGCTGCATCAACTCATTCAATGGGTCCCTGGGTTGGGACTTACCTGTACTGTGGGATGGCATTCACAACTCTGGAGGCAAGCTGGTAATAGTATGCTTTTGGAACGTATCCTCGCCATCACTAAATGATGTTTTCATCTAGAATGTTCAGCTTTATTTTTTTTTTTCTTTCTGAAATATCTTTCCTTGGGAAAACTGAGATCATCATCTCTGTGCTGGTAAAGGGTTTATAAACAACACAGATCTCATTTTCAGCAAGATGTTCCCCAGGTTCGTTTATCTCAGTGGAAACCGCAGACCTTTTTGTTAGTCTGAGCGGTGTCTAACGAAAGATAAATAGACGAATGTTGGAGTACATCACCAGCTCCCCATGGCCCCCTCAGCAGTGCCAAGTATGGTGTGGCCCATCCAGCCCTTACAAGCTGAGTTTCTCAATGTAGTTGTGAAAAATTAACTTAGCAAAGATTTCTTCAGGAGCAGACACTTGCATTTATAGATGATTTTGTTGAGCTGCTGCAAGCTCTTGATTAGCTGCCATACAGATTGTTCACCATTCATAATATGCCTGTAAATTCAACATTTTCCTAAACTCACAGCTTTTGAAAGAAGAAGAAAAAAAGTGAATTCAACTGGAATGCATAAATTCATGCTAACTGCCAGCAGAATTCTCTACCTCTTTGACTCAAAGCGCAACCAGCCACTACATAATTGACTGCTGCTTTAAGTGCTTTACATATGGGAAAGCAAATAAGAAACAACAGTTTGCCCCATTGTGCGCCTAGAGCTCTGTTTTGATGATCAAAGTTTTCGGCTTTTACTATGGATGTATGTATATTTCCATGCAGCAAACTGCTGTATGATAAATTACTATTATATATGCTTGGAGTTTATGAAATTTTAATGTCTCATTGTTGCTCTGCCTTTTGGTATCATAGATCTTTTTTCTTTTCCTGTTCATTGCAGTAAGCAGAGCCAGATCCAGAGAGAACAGGGGCATAATGCTGTGGGATGAGAGAGACATCTTACAGTGAGAACCTTTTATGTTATCTCTCTCTCTTGGGTTACTGGGTTTAGATCTCTAGGCAGTGTTAGCGCTATGCATACTTAAAATGAATAATCAGCTCTGTATCTGCATTGCTTAAGGAACTGGGCCTGATGCAGCAGAAAAGCTGCAAGTAGCTGTTTGTGTGCCCTTGCCCATCTATGAACACCAGAGGTGTGCTCAGTGTAGGTGTGCAACTGCATGTATGTATGTATCCCTACACTGTCTGTGAGCCTGGACATTTTCTGATCAGTGAAAACTGGTGTTTAATTTTGTTGCACTCCCTGCAAAACACAGTGAATGTCCTATCCCAGATTCTGAGCATCCCAGTTATTTTCCCATCTGTGAAATCTCTCCTGTCACTAAGGAAATGTGGCACTGTGCAACTAAATTGGGTGTTGACAGGAGCTGCTCCATCTTAGGGCTGAAGATCAATATCTCTACCATAGAGACAGTTATTCCCTTTGGATGCATAAACCCTTCTGCCAAATGTTGTTTCATCAAGGGCTGTCAGAGGTGAATATCCACTGCCGTTGTCACTGGGGATTGTTCTGTGGTCATAGCCACAGAAAGAAGGGCTGCTGATGCATTCTGGTTCAAACTAATGCTTCCTTCAGCTACATCTGGGGGAGTTAGATGTCAAAGCAACGACTCTTAATTTGGCTGATAATCATGGCAAGAAATCCGTAAGGAAAAACAACAATTAGGAGGTGGAGGTTTTGCCCTCCTTTTCTGTCCAGTCCCCACCCCTATCCCCAGTTTACTGGTGCCCCAAGCTGAGCTCCAGCCTGGCCCCACAACCCAGCATAGGGAGATTTGCTCCCCAGACCACGACTCACTCTGTCCAGTGGTTGGAGGGGACGTAGCAGAACATGAGGCGCCGTATGTGATAAGGGAGCCAACAGACCACGAAGGCAATCACCACCGCACCTGCAAGCCGTGAAAAAAAGCCCATTACTTTTTGTGAGGAGTTTTTCCTTGAGGGTGAAAAGGGACCTTTATCACTGTAAACTTCTCTCTTAAAGCCCCGCCTTGTTCACATCTTGCTGCTGTGGAAGATATTAATAACCCTAGGGGACAAACAGCCTGAAAATACCTATAAAAACAAGTATAACAGAAATAATAGAAAAAATAGCTATAAGCTGGGGACAGAGAAATTATGAACAAAAGAAGATATAACAGTGATAAGGGACTGCTTATGCCTGGATCAGGAGGCCAAATGAAAACAGACTGTATTTGCACCTATCCTTGCATTTTATGCTGTTAAGGCACTGGGAGTTTTGTCTACAGTACCCACAGAGGCAGCTAGTGTGTGTTTTTCATCCAGGTAGACACAGTAATCTCATTAATTTGCTACGTGGAGCCACTGGCCACAGTCCCCTCAGTGCTGGGGATCATTAAACGGCCTCAGGAGCTGCTTTCTGGTGGCAGAGCTTGTCCTTTTATTCTACACTTCTGCAATACCTGAGACAGTGATTACAAGATGCTTGGGTCTGGACGTTATTGTAATAAAAATTGTAAGTTAAAAAGATGATGCATATCTTCTTCCTTTCAGTATTCCAGCCAAGGAATGTCAAACAAAGAAAAACAGAACATTACAACTCTGAAGCATAAAAGCTCTGCTGGTGCTGAGCAATCATCAATCGAAATTAAAAAGCAGATATATCAGGCAATCAAGAGAAAGATTTGTTTCCTTTTGCAATATGTATTTCAACCTCTGTATGAAATGACAACGTTCTGGCAGAATCCCAGCAGGAAATAAAGAAATCTCAGTTAAAACATAACATAATAAAAGCCAAGAAGAAAATCAAGACTACATAAAATAATTATGTTATTTTTTTTTTATTCCAAATTTGCTCTACAGACAGTAAGGGCCTCATCACTCTTGTCCTTTATGTGACCTGTAAGGACTAGGAAGTAGCAATGCGCTCTTGCCGAGCTCCATACCACCAGTGCAATGTGAATTTGGAGGCTGCTTTTCCTTCTGCTTTCTGATTGAAAATATTTAGGCAGCCATGTCCCAAATTCATTAGCTCTCATCCCACAGAGTGGGAGGAGAGGTGCAGATGATGAGCATCTCATAAAAACACAGTCCATGGCAGCTGCACCTCCCCATCACTGTTATGCAGCACAGAGGCAAAGTGAAGGCTCTGGTGAAGGGATCCCTTCAATGGGGCAAGAAATTCAATAATTCCTGGTGTCCAGATCTGTACTCACACTTTATTTCAACTGCATGGGTTCCCATTTATTATACACATCACTATCAATGGAGATGGCTAAGTTATTTACTTAGTTATTTAATCAGCCTGTGCGATGCACCAAAGCAGGAGCCCTGCAAAAGTCACTTATTCAGTAAAATTTTAAACACCTGAAAGAATATGTTTTGGAAAGCAGGCAAGAAGGGCTGGTTTTATTCTCTCATCTAACTGAATTCGTTATTTCATTCTGAGTGTTTTTTGGCTGCTATGTGGTCATTGTGATCGCAGATATAATTTGTCACTATAGGGTCTGCAGCTTTTCAGCAGTCTAAAAGACACCACCAAGTGGATGAATTTGACCTGCATCTCATCCAGATAGTTTGTAGAAACCTTCGTGCACTGACAGGTCCCAGGTGTTGCCTCCGCCTGCAGCTCTTCAGGCACTGCAGGGCCTGGATCCTTTCTCATGCCACCTTTAATGATCCTGCACATCTGCCCATTAAATCTCCCAACACGTTAATTGAAAGTGTTTTCCTTCTTGTAAAGGAGCTCTGCTTCCATGGCTCTGAGAGTGTGATGCCAGACAGCACAGAGGCAGGGGTCCATATCAACAAAAACACACGCTGAGAGAAATAACCACTCGACCTCAGCAAACAGATAGTCAATTAAATAATCTGTGGTAATTCTGTAATATCCCAAGCAATCATTCTGCAATTAGAACTGTATTAAACACATGGCTAAGTGCAGTGGAAGCACTTTAGGGGCTGATTTTGAAATCCTGGCTGGGCAGCATGCTGTGAGACTCTGTGGAGCGCAGGTGAGGAGGCCCTGACCTGCATTTGTCACTCTTAACCCTGCTGTATCAAGGGCAATGTTGCTGCCAAAATGATTATTTATTACACTTGCAGGCTCCTAAAGCCTATTCTCCATCATCTGACGCTTCACATGGATTGGATTTCTTTGGTGTTATAAGATGGGGCAGGACAGCCTGGTGGAGCCGAGCACCACCTGGGAAAGGGTTCAAAACAAGGCACAGTGGGTCTTCGTTTACCTTCTAAATCAAACTTATAATTTAAAAGTGCAAACCTGAATTACTGCATCCTGTGATTTTCTATTTTGTCTTGTGGCTCGATGCCCTGCCTGTTGGAACTGCATCCCAAGGAAGAAGGGCAGGAAGTCCGCAGAGGGAAACAAAAATCTTGAATGACGTCTTCTTCATTGTGCAAGAGAAGATTTAGACTGTGACAGTCTTGATTTTCAGACTAAACTGGATGTGGAAGCAAGCCGGGAAGCTAAATTTTATTAGATTGCACTGAGTATTTTATTCACCATGAGTATATCCTGTGTTTGGGGCTGGGAGGTGGCCATTTTCCAGGGCCAATGTCTCAAAAATCTGGCAATGTGCATGTAGCACATCACCTGTACGTGGGCCCTGGCAGTGCCTGCTGGACAGACAGAAGAGAGATGCTGCTCAGAGAAGCTCAAATCCAGCCTTCCTCAATAGCTTTGTTCAGTCAATTTTGGCCAATTTCTTTCTTATTCTTTGTGTTTCAAAGGGAGCTGAAAAACAGACAGCATGTCATAAGTTTGGAGCAAAGACAGGAGCTGTCTGAGTCTGGGCAGACCGAGCAGAACAAAACCTCTCATCCTTTTCTGAGTTTCAGCGTATCAACAGCTGTTCATCTCCAATGCTGCTCAAGGAATGCACGCTCCAGCCGGTATTGAATAAAGTATAAAGCAGGGGAATGGAGCTCATTAATTTGCATTGATGTTGACTTCTAGAGAAGCAGTCCCTGCGCATTCAAAGCCCTGGGGGTTTTATATGCTTATTTAGCTGATGTCATTACAAGAGAATCTATCACAACGGAGAACAAGTGTTACCGTGTGGTTTGATATGAGAGTTGGAGAAAGTTGGGACAAGTGCAGATGCAGCTGGCAGTGCCTGGCTAAACCTTGAGGCGCTGTTTATGCAAAGTGATGCAGTACCTGACAGGTTATCAGCAATATTTACACCAGCAGGCCCCAAACTAGGGGTTGTGGCACTTACAATGTGAGTAGGAGCCTAGTAAAAGTTAAACTGCTTGTGCTGGTATTTGGGTCACAAGGCTGTAGAACAAAGCATTTCCATAAAAGTCGATAACTACCAGCAGAGAGCGGAGACCACCAGTATGCACCAGTAGTGCCCAGGAGAGTGAAACAAGGAGAAACTGGGAACTGAAGGAGCCCAGGGAGCCCACAGCTCCTTCAGAAGCTGCTGAAGGCACATAGACTTTGCTGGGTGCAATCCTCCTGTTCTCTTGTATATGTTACAGAACAGTGTAATCATTAGTTTTGACTCCTTAATTTACATTCTCTGAAACCGGAGATCTTCTTTTATTTTCCTGTATCATTTGCAGACAGCAGAGTGAATAGAAAAACCTTTTCAGCACAAAAAAAACCCCAAAGTATTGTACTCTGACTATATTCTCCAGGCTTGATTTTCAGAGGATTCAGCTGACAGATTTGAAAATGAATGTGAATTCCTGGCTCCGTTCACACAGGGCAATGTGATTAAAACATTCACTGGCACCAATGAGACCTGGTTTCATCCAAAAGGAGCAAGGCAAAATATGAAGGTTAAAAGCCAACCAAAGAATGGGGCTCAGCAAGCAGCACATCCCTGCCAACACACTGCAAACCAGGGACTCTTCCCAAGTCCCCTTCTAAGATAATTAGTCGTAGATGTTGCTAGATTCAATCTAAGCTTCATTCGTGTCATTACTCCCAAGGATGTCAGGGTGTTAGTAGGAGAAGGAAGAAGAAAGAAGAAATTTTCCCCTTGGAAGGATAGATGAGGGCTCAGTCCTCTCCTCACCCCATTCAATACATTTTCTACAACCAGCTATAACCCAAGGTGACATCCTTTGCAGCCCCCTTCTTCATTCTCCTCTTGTTTTGAGTCTTACATATCCTTTATTCCTCCCTGAGCTGTTTCTGCTTGCTGAGGGATCCTGGCACTGTATTTGCTGCATGCTTCTGAAGTCACAGAGGCCTGGCTAGATTTCATGCCTAAAAAATGCATCAGTTAGCTTTTTAAACACTCATACAAGGCAGGACCCAATACCTGGAAAATCTACTTGCCCAGCTTGGCCAGCCCTAGAGTTGTATTCAGAGATGCAGCAGCTGGAGCCTGAATTCCCATAGCCCTAGGAGCCTGAATCCCTGCAGCCATGCCCAGCAGCCGCAGGACTGGCACACAGATCTTCCTCTCCCAACAGGCACAGCTGTGCTGCATTTCTGCTCCTCAGAGGCTGTTTACAGAGTGCTCTGTACAACTCCCTTTATGTCACTTGGCAGGCTGCAAAGTAAACCTACACGTACAAACACCTCCAAGAAACATATACAGCTATTATGTGGCTCATTTATCCTCCTGAATTTTAGTTGACACTTCTATCCGTGCTTCAAGTCATGGGAGACTCTCTGAACTCCACTTGCAGCAGCTCAGATTTTTGCTAGGGTTACAAACTGTCATGAATTTAGTTCCTTTCTTGCAAGCAAAGTGATTCATGGATAAATCTGATTTCCTCATAGTACAGACTTTCAGACTGCTGCTCTTCTGTGGACCTTTGTGGCTGCAAAGCATTTGCTATTTGTTACTCCTATTTGTGGGATAGTTACACTATAATCTCATAGCATTATTCTCCTCAAATTGGTAGCTCAAACTTGGAACATCTGAAAAGAGAAATGGACAAACTCTTCAGCACATTTTTCTGGAGGGGAATTATTCACACACAAAGTAATGAAACACGTAGGATGCACGGATGCTTCATTAATACTTGGCATTTGCCTGGAGTTGCTTGAAGAAATGTAGAGGCTCCAGAATCATAATTTTAACATTTTCAAACTTTCAGTTAAAAAATATGGTGTGACTTCATTTCCTAAAAACTATCATACTGAGGCATTAACCAGCCAACTGTGGGAGGCTGAAGGATATTCTTTTAATTCTTTAAACCTCTCTAAAAGCTTTATAATTGCTTCAGTTAAGCAGCTTCTGTAACAGAGCAAATGCTACCTGGGAGAGTTCACGCTTTAATGAGCTTAGATTAGTCCACCAGGGATGCATAATGCCTGCACTCAATGTCCATCAGCTTGCCTTGGTGTTGTTGTCATTACTTGGCTGTGCCCTTCAGTAACTCCTTCCCGTTTGCTGGACATGCAGTTGTGGAGGCAGTTGCTCCAAGAATAGGCATCTCTTTCTGCAGTTGCTGGATAGGCTGCAGGCTGCTGTTTTGATGGAGACAATTAGTCTGTGTCACAGAACTGTCCCCTTTCAAGAAGAAAGGTTGGCCAAAAAGCACTTCCAGATTGAGCCAAGCTCAAATATGCCCCTAGAAAGACTTAGATTGGATGCAGTGTGCAATAGTCTGGGAAGCATGTGTGAGGTTTCATCTGCTGAAAGCTGCTTATTATGAAGGGTGCATATCTGCATGTGTGTTTGAGAACTAGTGTATAGCTCAGATTTGTTTAGGTAGCTTTCTTCCTTATCTAATGGTTGGTGCGTCAGGATGTATAACCAGCAGATTCACCCTTCTGTGCAGCGCCACGTAATGCCTGAGGGACTTGGCTGAGCAGCACTGCTACAGCGCAACCAAGGAATAAAGGAGTCCTCACAAAGGAGCTGGAAAGCCACCAGTTCCTGAAGCTCTCGGGATGTGGATCCTCACACCTACAGAAAGCTGACAGCAGAGAGGGAATTACAGTCAGAAATCACACACTTAATGAATTAATGAACTGGCTCACAGGAAGCAGGGCTGACAAGTTCCTCGATCCTGATCTCCCTAATTGTTTTGTACATGACCAGAGTCAAACAGAGCCAAGAAAACACATACAAGCTAGAAAAGAGGAGGAAAGTAATACTGTGGACATTTGAATGAAGCTGCTGGCCTGACAATTTTCGCTCCTATTTTAATGTAATTAAGTACAAACTCAGTAGATGTGGAAGAAGGAAGGAAAGTGTTTGCTACTTTGATCTTATCAAACTCTGCTCACCATGAACTGAAAAAACTTGTTTTTTAAGCACTGGTTGTATGTATTCTGAAACATTTCACCATTAAAACATAACCAAGCTTTTATACATCAGGCCAAAGTTTACTTTTGGAAATGGAAAATACTTTAATCCTCATAAAGTCTAATTTCGTGCCAGCAGCTTTATTAGTGTGGACAAGGGCCATTGTTTTCTTTTCCCACTGTCTTCCATAAACTCATCAGTCTGGGTGGGTGATTTTGGCTGCCATGGAGCCCAGCAGAAATCATATGCACTGTCGTAGAAAGACGGGCTGCCATCAGTACCGGGAGTTAACCTGGACTCATTGGTGAGGGATGCTCTTCCACTGTAGGGAGTGGGACTTTTGGTGGGTTCTCTAGGGCCAGGATTTCCTTCCCTATGGAAAAGGGGGTCTTGGCCAAAGCACTGCAGCCACCGAGAGCCTTGCCATAAAAAGCAGCAGCTGGAAGGCTTTCAGCTAACCAGCTCTCACATCTCATGTGCATGAGGGCCCTCACAGTGCAAAACCAGAACTGGCATATTTTAATAGACTTTTTTAGGGTGCTATTTTTGAACTGCTTTTCTTTATCATCTGTCAGCTTAAGCTACCAGATTCTTTGTTTTTTTCTTCAAATTGCTTAATTAAGGCTTCTGGAATTTCACAGCACCACTTGATTCCTGGCTACTGGATCTTTTACGTAACTTTTGTCTGAACCAAAGCTCTGTGAAAAAAAAAAAAAACAAACAACAAAAAAGGAAGGGAATGAAGCCAGATATTTAAGACCTACGTTGCTGCTGATGGAATCATTAAAATGCTGAGCCAGTTTTGCTTTTGAACTCATTCAAAAGCTCTTCCTCAGAGAGCCTGTGTGTGAGAGCAGGTCTATTCTTTAGCTTTACATATTGGCAAGCAAAGGCAAAAGAAAAGGATTATTTGTTACCACTCTAATTGTGGTTGTTCAGAAGAAGAATAAAATATTGAATCGCTTTCTGTCTTCATCCAGGGAGATCACAATTGTACCTCATTTCTCTGATGTTAATTCTCACCCATCAGTTTATAAGCTGCCATTTGTGCTCACAGCTATAAATGCTGTCTGAGACACTGCAGTAATTATGAGTACAAAGGTGAACCCTTTATTGCATGTGAAATATGGATAGAGGCATTTTCAATAACTGGGCTTAGGAGTTCATCCAAAATATGTTTGCAGCTGCTTTGAGGCCTGCAAAATTTAATAAAAATCCTCTGAGTAGCTTTTTAAAAAAAAAATAAAAAAAATTCTGTTGTACTCTAATACTCTAATTTGGCTTGGGATGGAACGCATTTTGTCTTTGCTGCGATATCATGAATAGCTCGGGCAAAGTTTGCAAAACAGCACATGCAAAATCTGGCAGGGAGCAGACAAAATGCAACTCAAGGGGTGTAGATGTGTCCCTTGAGAACCCTGCTGGAGTGACAGTGGGACTTCGGCCCCCAAAAAAGCATATAAATGAGATAAAACCTTCCCCCAGAGCTTGACTTGACTTTGGGGGATGCAGAGGCCTCTCCCAGCAGAGCCAGCGGTCAGTAGGGCTTCATATTCAGCCCTGTTTGATATAATCTTCAGAGCAGTGTGTTTGTATAGAGCTCCATATGTTGGTTTGGGAGGTCTGGGGGAAAGATTATGCGTCATCTGCTGCTGTAATAAGCAGAGCACCAGGGAAGATTGGCCTGACCCTGGCTGTGTGCAGCACAGGAACAAGGAATGCTCTCTGCAGATGATACAGCAGTCACCCATCACTGCCCCACTGATTTGCTTCAGGCTTGGATTGTATGGAAAATATTTTGCCTTTTCATCAACTGAAATAGCGACATTTTAACATTGTTCTGTAATTGGAATTGGAAGTCAAAGTTTTGAAGAGGAAGAACAGCCTGATTTGATTAAGATTTGTTTTTTTTTTTTTTTTTTTTTTTAATCTCAGCTACTCGATTTTTTTTCTGTCAAAAAGAAAAGGAAAATTGAAATCTGAATCAAAGCTGTGACCGTCTGCAAGAAACTCATTTCTATGTGCGTGCCATCAGGGGGAAATCAATTTTCCACACCCCTCTGGCAGAGATCACCAGAGCAGCCCCTACTTTTGCCTGCAGAGAAGGGGGAGGAAATCAATGCCTTGCTTCCAGCAGCTGGAGGGGATCTGCCTGCCTACACGGCCATGAGCAGCGTGCCCACAAGTGACCTGCGCAAGGTGCCCAGTCAGGATGATCTGTTCAAACCCAACCCCACAAAATACCTTTGGTTCTAAAACAACATCAGTTCCCACACCACACACAGAGCCCAAAGCCAGCACCAGCTGGAGGAGAGGTGTTCAGGTTGGAGGTGGCCAGGGATAGGAAAAGGAGTAGAAGAGCTTTGTATCAGCATGTTCTTTCTGTCTAAGAGAACATAGTTTCTTTCCTTAAATTTGGAATTTTCATGTCTCAACTTATCCTCCATTGAGAACTATGAATTAAATAATGCTTAAATCCCTCTCTAGCTTCCTTCCTCTATAATGAATTTTTTTATCCTTTAAGGGAAGGTTGATGCAAAGTGTCTCTGGGAGAAAAAGAAAATTAAAGATAAAATTCCCTAAGAAACTCTTGTTATCTCAGAAAGAAAAAGAGGAAGGAAAGAGACCAGGAGAAGAAATTAACTCACTTTCCAAAATGTCGGGCTTTGAGTTGAGAACTGGACAACAATGGCAAATTTCAAAGCATTTCTCAGGGGTAATCTGGATTTTTTAAAATGTTACTTTTCATTTCAGATGTTTTGAATGAAAGCATTCACCAGTTTCAACCTCGCCCTTCAAATCATATCTACATAGACACTTCTAGCTGCTTCAGTGTCAAAACGCTGTTACTTACGCAGGACCCTGACACCATGTCTCAGGGCTTGCACACGGCCAGGCTCCATGGACATGCTGAGCATCGTCTGCTGCCCACCGATGGTGCAAACCTGATTTTCCTGGGCAGCTTGCTTGAACATGATCATGAGCTGGTTGGCAATGATGGTGTTGAGCACAGAAATGACGACCATGGGAAACACGAAGGAGATGAACGTGTTGACCTGTGGAGGAGAAACAAGGCATGGTCAAAGCAGGGGAATGGTCAGCAAGGCAGGAGATTGTGATTCATTTCTCGCAACAAGAGTAGCAGCCTGCAGTGGAAATATTTTCCCTTCTCTTGCACTTTGCCTTTGCTTTTGAAGCTTATTGCACAGAGAGAAAGCTCAGACACCACTGTCATGTGTTCATTTAGTGATGTCAACACTCAAAAAAGGCAAATTCACTCACACCCAATTATGATGTCTTTCCCTTTTCAGGGCAGCTCATTTCCAGAAGTGTCATGACCAAAAGGTATCATTATCTTTTTATCTTGCCAGTGGCAGGATGCTTTGTAGCTTTCACTGTGCGGAGCACGACTCCTAAATAACAGTATGTTATTATATTTTTTCTTTATTATGAGCTCTACTCGGGATATTTCAGCTCTGGCCTTCCCTTGTAGATTTAATGACAGCTTTTTGTTAGCCAGTAATCAAATTGTCCAATAAGCCTTGTGCCTTAAAGGATTAAAATTGATTGGAATAAACAAGTGGAAGTTATAATGGTTTTAGTACAAATTATTTGATTACTACAGTTTTGATAAAATTAAATGGAGGATCAAATCAAGCAGTGATTGAATCAAGTGTAAGTCACTGTTCGTGTCAACTAAAAGCAGAAAGCCTTCGTGAGGGCCTCCGTCTCTGCCTCGAAACTCGCTGGAGCTCAGTTTAGCAACGCAGCCTGGGAAGAAAATGAGCTGTGTGTTCCTGAGACTCATCCTCGCTGCTGGGGAGGAGGCTGATCACATCACTGACATCAGTGGGTGAAAGAGCAGAAGTCCCTAAAAGCCTGGAAGTTTTAAAATTTCAGAACTTTAACAAGAATCGAACCGCGTGCTACAAACCACTGAGGAAGCAATTTTATTAAAAGCAATAGAACAGCCACATCAACGGAAGGATAAAAACCAAAAAGCAATGGGGACCTGTGCTAGGGTTGTAAGGCATACTAACTTTTTTCGCCCAGACAGACACACCTCTTGCAGATCAGTGCCTTAAAATACAGAAGTGACCCCACACTCTGAGCCAAATCCACGTTCTTCTGCAGGAAACCTCATTGACCAATGAGTGCTTCATCTGCTTGGGGGAGAAATCTAGAGAAATCCCTTCTCCAACACAGCAAGATCACCGCACTGTCCAGGTTTCTGTTCTACCCCCAGTATCTGGTTCAGATATATGTTCTCTTTGCTCCAGAAAAATTCAGAAATACAAATGTAAATGGAAAAATGAGGAAAAAATCCCCAGACCCCCGTAATGTAACACGGGATGCATAAAACAAAGAACTAAGAACATAAGTGTAAGGGGAACAGGTGCACTGACAATCAGAAACAGTTAAGTCTCCATGTTCATAAATTTAAGCAAGATGTAACTCCTCTTTTGGTGAAGACAGGCAGCGCTGTTCTTGCCAGTTCTCTTTTTTAGATCAAGTCTCTGTACAACTCCAGAGCTCGATGCACTTAGCAAAAGTACCAGCTGGGTTTCATCTCCAGCAGTCCATGTTGTGAGAGCATTGACTTTCAGTTTATTCTTGTAATAATAATGGAGCTACACCATGGACAATTTCCGGAGGAAATTCCTAGATATACTTCCCCATTGCAAGCTACTAATGGTCTCTGTTGTTAAATATATACTTTTCCAAGCTCCCCTTGTCTCCTAAAAGATAGCACATCGCACAGCATCCTGCATACAAAGAAGAGTTATCTTCTATCAAGATGTTAAGATAGATCCTTAAGTGGTAGGCAGCACGTTCACAGCCAGCACAAAATAAGTTTTTCACAGTGGGAGCAATCTGTGCTTGTAAAGAATCTGCTTTATTCAACCTTCACAATGCAGTTGTGCTGAGCTGGCACACACAGGGTGAAAAGCCTTCCTCAGGCTTACAGGTCCTGCAGCCCTACAGTCCCACATGGCTGTTTGTGCTGCTTTAGCTGCTGAATATCCTCTACCACCACTGAGCAGCATTTGCAAATGAGCAAAATGAAGCACTTCACTCTGCCACCAAAGATTCAGGGTTTATTGAATTTCACTCAATAGCTTTGCCCAAGCTAAAAATTAGTCTTGCCTAATAGAATCACACAGAAACCAAAAAGTCTGTTCTGAGCTTTCTTTAAGGTTTTGATTCATTCCCAGTACCGTGAAGATTTTAAAGAGCTTGAGAAACTGTCAGGAATAGCATTATGAATTGCTATGGCAGAAGTGTAAAAATTGCATACATTCTATGAAAGGCTCCATTAAAAGATTTCTATCTGGTCTTGATTTGCACCGAAGCCCTTCTGTACTTAACAAAATTCAAAGGGATGGAGAGTTTTAATTTGTGGAAAAAAATCATTTTCAAATACAAACACTCGAAGACAAAAAGAGCCAGAGAAGCAGATCTCTCCCAGCACAGCCCTTGTGCTCGGTGCTGTCCCTGGCTCTCACTGGGCTGTGCACGGGGCATGGCAGTGCTGCTGGTGTGCCTCCAACAGCACTTTGAAGCCAGCAGAAGTTTCCTTTCTGCATTGGCAGGAGCTGGTCTGGAATCCCTGGACTATATACTGAACAGTGTTCAGGATCAGAATGACTTGTATGGGTGTTTAATGAGATTGTCATTAGTGCTGACACTCTTCATTATCAGTGGAACTGTAGCTGCCAGTGAACACCTATGACTGTTAATTCCTTTGGCTTCTTGCGTACCTTTACAGCCCTGGGAAGGAGGATTTAGACAGTATCCAGCTTCATTTTTGATCTAATAGTCTTAGGCTGTATGCTGGCTTACCACAGAAATGACAGCTTGTGCAATACCACATCCAAACCGTTGTATTCAGGTTGTTTGAATGTAAAAGCAGAATGCTATGGCCTCATCTCAGCTGCCACCAAGAGTTCATGCTGTTTATCCTCTCCATTAAAACTTACATATATACATATTTTTTAAAGATAATGCAATACTACAGTGTTTGCCACTGGCAGGAATGAATGAAACACAGAGCCACTTCCATGTTGCTGACTCTCCTGCAGCCAGAGCAGCCCTAAAAGCCACTCAAGCACCAGGCTGGAAGCATTTCTGCAATGGAATTACTGCTCAGGACGAAGTAATCATACAAAGCCTTCATCTCACACAGCACAGAGCCATGGACTTTCTTCCCAGCAGCACTGAGCAGCTCTGCTTGGGATCAGTCAGATGTGTTTCTCCAGGACCCCCAGAGCACGAAGCATTACAACCATGCAGCATTTTGAAGGACTCCAAAGACAGAACAGTTCTGAGGATGAGGCTCCAAGGGCTCATGAGAAGACAAATGGAAATTTATGGAAATAAATTTTCGGAGGATAAAAACGGAGTTATCAGTCCAGTCAGTTGTCCGGTCAGCTCAACAAAAATTGGACTTTGTGTTGTTAACTGTTAAAGTCACACAAAGTAAACAAAACTTGAAATGCAGGCAGCAACCAGGGGTCCAAAGGAACAGAACCAGGGCTCCCACCAGCATGGACCTGACTCCAGAGCAGACAAAGGGGCAGCTGATATTTAGGTCAGCATTAGCAGTTGTATATGACTCCTTTTTCATGGCAGAGAGCTGAGATGCTCCCCCACTGCCTGGATTTCTCAGTGCAGAGATCTTCAGCTGTCCCAGAGACTTCTCGAACCCTGAGGACACACAAGGAAAATGGTCCCGAAGGAGCTGGCAAGCATCTCAGATTTGCCTTTCTGGTTTCCTGGCACTGACGATGGAGAAGCTGAAGATGCAGGGTGTCATGCTTTTGAGCACATCAATTAAACGTCGCCGGGATTTAACAAATTAATACATTCTGGTTCACCTCATTTCTAATGGAAATGTAAATTCTCCTCCTCCTGGCTGTGGAGGCTGTACTGTTAGCATATGTCAATCAGAAAAGCACACCCTTCATCATTCGGCTGCCAAACAATCCTATGTGACTACATAGAGTTGAAAAGTCACTAGTTTTCTCACTTGGTGACTGGAATTAGCATTTTTTAACCACTCAGTGAATAACTTCAGCACTAATAATTGCACTGCTCCATTTGTGAGTGCAGCAATCTGTGGAATACGAAGCTGGACTGGGAGGTGTTCATGATGCTGGCATGCCAAAAGAAACATTTGGCTTTGCCACTTGTGTTTGATGTTCACAGGACATATCTGATTGAATAATCCCATTTTTTTCTCCTGTTGTAAGTAAGTTCCTGTCTAGTTAAATCCTATCTCTGCACAGTTTTCCAAACATCCTTGCCAAGTGTTTAGCAGTGAGCAGCTCCGTGCCATTCCTTGGATACAATGGGGCAAGGGAGACTGTGTCTGTAAGTGGTGACAGAGAGCAACAACTGTTCTCATAGCCTCTACCTGGGACAAGAAGGAATGTGAAAGCTGGAAAACAGCCTAGAAAGGGAGTTCAGCTCTACTGAAAAGTTTGGAGGCATTTCAGTAATTTCAGCATGGCTTGGTTCAGAGCATACTATTTAGCATTAGATTTTAGTACAAAGTATTTCCTGTCTTTCTCCTCTTGGATCATTAATTCAATAAATATCTAAATTAAATCTGCAGACTAAAGATGAAGCCTAAAAGTGTATGAAATTGAGACAACAAAGGAAGGAACCAGAGCTGCTGAAGCAGGTAGCTAACACTGAGGTACATGCAGTGCAGCACAGGACTGCTGGTTCTTATCCCAGGTAAGTGTATCATGGCACAGAACCTCAAACAGTAGTTAAACAGGAGTAGGGCTAGGTGCTGAATGCTGTGTAGGTCTGGAGCTCTAACAGGGCACTTAAGCAGGAGCTTGATCTTTGCACATTTCTCTTTTAACTCACACAAGCTTGCCTGTCACCTTGTATTTCTGCAATGTGAAACAGCCCTGATACCATCATCACCTGCAGGTGCTTCATCAGCCATGCAAAATGAACCCCCCTTGTCTCATGACCAGACTGAGCATATAAAAATCTGATGTGGATCTGGGTGGTGGGACATTATATCCTATCATCACCA